CCAGTTCGTGGCCGTGTCCATGTGTCCGGCTGCTGGCCGTGTCTGTGTGTCTGGCTGCTGGCCGTGTCCATGTATCTGGCCTCTGGCCGTGTCCGGCTCCTAGCTGTGTCCGTGTGCCTGACCCATGGCCGTATCTGTGTCTGGCTCCTAGCTGTGTCTGTGTGTCCTGACCGTGTCCGTGTGTCCGGCTCACAGCCGTGTCCATGTGTCTGGCTCCTGGCCGTGTCCATGTGTCCGTGTCCGTGTCTCGGGGGCTGCCTTAGGGTGTCCCCACGTCTGTCCGGGCTGGGGTGAGCCCGGCTGGGTTTCCCAGTGGAGTGGGTGGGGATGAATGGAAAGGGAAGAGGGGCTGAGGTGTTCCTGAGTGTGGGATGGGCTGAGAAGGGTTTCTGTGCTCCGTGTAGGGTTTTGGGGGTATATCACACACGATGTGACAGTGCACAGGGGTGTGGGAAGGGTTTGTTCTCTCTGTATAGGATTTTTGGGTATGGCACACACGATGTGTGTGCTCAGGAGTGTGGGATGGGCTGGGAAGGGTTTGTGTGCTCCGTGTAGGGTTTTTGGGGTATATCACACACGGTGTGAGTGTGCACAGGGGTGTGGGAAGGGTTTGTTCTCTCTGTATAGGATTTTTGGGTATGGCACACACGATGTGTGCGCTCAGGGGTGTGGGATGGGCTGGGAAGGGTTTGTGTGCTCTGTGTAGGGTTTGGGGTATGGCACACACGGTGTGAGGGAGTGTGGGAAGGGTTTGTGTGCTCTGTGTAGGGTTTTTGGGGTATGGTGCCCACAATGTGTGTGCTCAGGGGTGTAGGATGGGCTGGGCGGGCAGCTGGGGGTGTGGAGAGGGGTGCTGGGGTGCGAGGGATGTTGGGAGGGTGCGGGGGTCTCTGTTTGGGGAGCTATGCAGGGATGTGTTGGGAGTTCACACAGCCTGATCAGGGAGGGAATTTAACGAGCGAGGCTCGTGAATAGAGAAGGGCGTTTTGGACAGGCTGCGATCCGTGAATTTTGGGGTTTATGCGTGCGGCTGTGAGGAAGGTGAATTACGGGGAGCTATGGGGGTTTCTTTGCGCTGGGTTCGTGCTCAGGGGGTGTGGAGGTGTGCGGGGCTGTCTGTAAGGGGTTCTGTAAGGGGGTCTGGGGGATGATGTGCACAGAGAGCACAGGGAGTTCATGCGCTGCAGGGCTGTGAGGAAGGGAGCGCCTCGCTGCCTTTGGGGAGCGGTCGCTGCGCTGGCTCTGGAGCATCCTGGGGGTGCTCGGAGCAGGGCCGAGGTGTCCCCGTGTCCCCAGGGGCTGTGGCTGTGCCTGCTGCTCTGCGGGGTGAGGGATGAGCCTAAATCGATGCTGCTCGGAAACCTGCCCTGGGGGAAGGTTTGCTCAGCTGCCAGCCCTGGGTGCTGCCCTGCTCGCCGATTTCCCGGCAGGTCAGCACAGCCCTGGGATGGCATTGCAGGGATGGATGGGCAGTGCATCCTGCCCGAGGGCAGCTCTGCCAGAGCACAGTGGGGTGGACAGAGGGCACCACAGCCACGCTGCTTTTCTCCTCCCCGAGCAATCCATCCATTCTTTGTTCGGACCTGGAATATCCTGTTGCAGGAGGGGAGGTGCTCTTCCCTTTTCCTTGGTGTTTTTCTCCCAAGCAGACATCTCTGGCCGGTTTGGTAACTACCAAAAAATCCACGAGGCTTTTGCCTTTAGCGAAAGACAATGGATGTGAGGCACGAACTGCAGGGGCAGCCTCGCTGCGAGTCATTGTGTGACCTTGACTAAAGCAGCTCTCCCTCTCATTCCTTCCCTGTCAGGCAGGATACTCATCTCCCAAAAATACTTCTCAGGGACAAGGACGTGGAATAAATCTTGGTTTCCATAGAGGAGTTTTCCTGGGAAGAAATCGCCGCCTTTCAGAGCTGCGATGCTTCCTGGTGGAGTTATTCTCAGCCCATTTACAGCTGTCGAATGGAGGTGTGGCCTCTCTTAATTTTAGAGATTCTGCCATGTTTCATTCTGGTCTCTTAATATGGCCACAGCCTTTCTCTAATGGCAGCTCTCAGTCCTGCTTGTCATAGGTTTTATGCAAATGTTCAGAAATAACTCCAGGAGAAAATGCAGTTCTTTATTCTCTTTTTACACTCTTATACTCACCCTGCTTTTTGTCAGTTAAGAAAGCTTTAGTTATACCTCCTTTAAATGAGTTTTGCTGCAGGTAAGGAGGTACATCCTTTGTAAAAATACATTTTTCTGGTTGAGGTACAGACAGGAGATGCTGGCATTTGGGTTCTGGCTTTGTTCTGCCAAAACAGCACTGAAGAAGAGGCACTAAGACCAAAATGGGACTGTCTGTGTAGCTGTGTGCTCAGCAGAGCATCATCTAGGAAAATAAAACCTGAGCAGAGTGAAGACAAAGGAATCCATTTTTGACCATGCCAGAGTAGGTCTGCACGCTGTTATTGATCCCATATTTCTAGGGGTGACCTACACTGCTGTTGCAGAAAAGCAATTTATAACACTATGGGTATAACCAGCCCTTGTGGTGAACTCTGCCCTCAGCTTGGGTGTTTGCATAGCTGTGTACAAAATACCTGTGTGCCAAAATGCCAAATACCTGCATGAAACCCAGAATTTGGGAGTAATTCTGCTGTGACACACAAGAAGAGTGCACACACAGCCAGGGCATGTCTGCTTTATAAATTGGCTTTCTGTTTGGAGACTGAGGGTAACCAAACCAGTGCTTGTTGCTATAATGAGGCTAATTTATCATTGTAATTTCCAATAAACAAGTAGAATCTAGGAAAAGTCATCAAAGAGGCTCATCTCAGTGGTTTGATGGAAAAAACTTGTGAATTACTGACAATATTTCACATCATATTCACCTGATTACTTCTGATTGAAAAATGTCCTTACATAGTGTAGCCTGAGTGTACTTCTGAAGGGTAGAGAATGATATTGCACAGCACCAATATCTAGAGACAGACATTTCAGGTGAACAAAAACCATGCGGTGTGCTGCTAATTAACTGGGGCTTGGAATCACCCTTTGTTCTCCAGACCCAGAGTTCTTCCCTGGCACTCAAGGTTACTCCCATAATGAGAACAAGTGAAGTTTTCCACACTTTTTTTTCACATGCCTTCCATCTGTTGGGCTGAGCCTCTTGGTCCTTTCCTGTGCTGCACCCTAACATCTCACATGCTGGAAGCCCTCAGAGCTCTGTCACACCAGTGCCTTTTTCTGAGTTCTCCCTCACTGGTCACAGGTTGCTTTTTCCATTCTTTTCCAGGGATCTGTCTCATCTCCCAGTGACCTTCTCTCATAATCCTCTCACCTGATCATTTTTTCTTCCCCTTTTCAGTCCTAGCAGCCATCTTCCATCACTGAAGGAATTGTCTCAATCCTGACTTCCTACTTGCAGCATTTGGCTTTAATAGAAATAAATAATAAGCTATAATAATTATTATTATTAATAATATATAAATAAGCTTTAATATAAATAAATAATGCACCTGCTGATGTTGCTTAGGGCTGCATTCCCCCTTAACCTCTGTGCTGGTCAAGTGCAGGGCAAATCCTGTTCCAGCTCATCCTTCCACTCATGTCCCACTGCCTTGGCTGGATCAGGAGTGGATGTTGGCCCAAGGTGCTGCTATTTATTGTGGCAGATGAATATTTGGGAAAAGAGCACCATGTGGGCTTTATTCCCCTTCATATGGAAGTGGTTCCAGTGGCCAGGGCTTTGGGAAGTTGATTTATAGATCTGCATTTACTGGTGAGTCACTTGTAACTGATAATTCTGTGCCTTGTGCTGTGATCAGACTTGCATATGAAAGATGCTAAAATAATCATGTGCCATCCTTTGAAGCCTTTCTCATGATGATCATAGAGCAATTCACATTTTTCATCCAAGTTTCAGCTGAAATTTAGCTCCTTTGGTATTTGGATGTGGTGTTTTTTTTCATTTTGAGCCTCTTCTTGAAGATTTCATGTGATGAGAAGTTGCCCCACCTCAGCTCTGATTATTTTTTGTCCTTGAATGGAGGGCTGGGTAGAGGTGGAAGCTGATGTTGTGCATTGACTTCAGCAGCAAAGGTGGCTTAGGAAATGCTGCTCTTGGCCACTTGTTCCAGTCCCCATTGTCCCATAAATGAATTCTTTGTGGGACAAAAGGTTTCTTTCAGCCCTCTCCATAATTTTGCCGCTTTCCCATATTCAGCTTCTTGACCTAATGAAATGGACAGTGAGGCACAACCTGGGAGGGAAGGCAAGGCACATCCAAGGTGGATTTTATGCCCTGTTCTGGGCTGCTTTTGAAATTTGCCTTTATTTCAAACCAAACTCTAGAAAAAGCTGAGTAGGATTTGTTTTGCTCAGTGTGGTTTTATTGCAAATGTTCTTGGGCTGTGTGAGATATTCCACAAAGTGATTCCAAGCTTTTTGTATCCTGTCATGCCCTTGGGAATATTTTCCATAGTCTTGTCCAGGAGCATTTAAAGTAATCATAGGAGGGGCTCCACCCTGGAACTGAGGAGTCTGGTGTGTGCTGGGACTGAGGGGTTTATAGGAAACATCCTGGAACCTCCACCCAATGTGTGTGTTCCAGTTTGCCTGGAAAAGTGAAGTTCCTGTAGTTTCATACTGAAACCTTGGTAACCTGTGGAATTGTTTTCTGTGGGTGTCTGTTGGCCTGATAGCTCAGCTAATTACATCCCACAGAACAACATTTCTCCATGGGGCTCTGTTTTATTTGCTTGCTCACCCCAGCTAGGTGCAGCCAGGACTGATGTGGGCCCAAAATTCTTTAGGGGCATCATGTAGTTCTGAAGGTGATTTCTAATCAGGCATTTCTTCCACTTCTCCAGCAAAACAAGAGGTGCTTCTGTTCATGGAGGAGCCAAGGGAAGGGAGCTCTTCCAGGGCTCATTTTGCCATGCTGGAGTAGGCCTTTCTTACTGGAGTAGGTCTTTCTAACTGTAGTAGGCCTTTCTAACTGTAGTAGGCCTTTCTAACTGTTGTAGGCCTTTCTAACTGGAGTCGGTCTTTCTAACTGTAGTAGGTCTTTTTACCTCATGAAGCAGCAGCAAGTTCATGCATTTGAAACTCAAGGCCTCCTCCAACATGGAATGAACTCTGTAAGGTGTTAAGACCACTTAATTCCTGCTGCAGCCCTGGTAAATTCCATGAAACACAAAAGCTGGGAACAGTAGCACATTCTCAGCTTTGCAACTGCAGATCTAACAGCCAGAATAATTGACTGCTGCCCACAGAGACTGTTCCTGGAATAACTGTTAACACTTAGGCATTCAAAATGGCCTCAATCCAGCTTTCCTGATTTTTCTCAAAAGACTTCTGCCCACAGTTCATTATCCTTGGAAAGTTGCTGGTGCATGCTGAGGAAGGATAACTTTTCCTGAAAGCACAGCCTGTCATTTTTGGTATTGTCACAGGGAGCTGATCTAAGAGGGTTGGAGGATTAGCACTCATCTGGAGCTTAGGGTTTTTCTAAGAAACCTTCTCCAAGGCAAACCTTATCTTTGCTGAGATCATCCCTTCTTTAGGAGCTGAATAATCTCCTTGTGCCTCCATCAGGTCGGTACCACTGGGATGTGTCATGCACTTGGAGTAGTTCTGTGTGATACAAGCCTGCCTTCAAATGGCAAATATGATGGTCATGCCAGCAGCTCTGAGGTCTGCAGCCAGCCCAGCCATTGCTGAGGGCAGGCAGGAGCACTGAGGAAATGCCTTGGCTGCTTTGGTGGCACCATAGGAATCGTGACACGTCTGGAGTAGCCTGGCATGGTGACAATGCTCATCCCCCTGTGGGCTCTGGCTCTGCAGTGTAAAAAGGACTTCATGCTCTGAGCTGGCCCTGCACTGAACCAACACTGTCCTTGGCACCAGGGATTTTGTCAGGGTAATGCTCCCCAGCCCCAGTGCATGAATGTGTCTCTTTTGGGGCTGCCTTTTTGGGGTTTGTTTGGAATTAATGACCTGGCTGTCCATTTTACCTTCTCATGGCTTGCAGTGGGATTTCTGCACAGCTGCTTGCTGGCTCAAGACGTGCTCCTGAAAATATTTGTGCACAGATTTTTGTGCTTAGGGCTGCGGAGCAATGTTCTTCTTGGAGCTGTTTCTTTTGCTCGTGACAAGATCTCACATCCCCTTCCCATCCCTTCTGTTATGCTGAGCACATCTTCTGCTCTCATGCTGTGTCTGTCAGTCACATTTCTGTGCCTGGCACAGTTGTACACCTTGACTTCTCATTACAGGCTTAGCTCAGACAGATGTGGCACAGAAACCCACAGAGAGCCCACTCCTCCCTCCATGGTATCTATTCCCTTTAAGATTTCTCTTCTTTATTATCTCCTGGCCACATTGTGCAGTTCAAAGCTGCAAAGTTCACAGGTCTCCAGCCCATGCTTGCTCAATCTTGCTGCCACCATGGTAAGGCTTGGGTAAAATTCCACTGTGGGATGTGAAATACAGTGTGGGAAGTGTGTTCCTAGCTGGAAAATGCATGTGCCTCACTGAGGGGCTTGAATGATGATTTTGCTGCTGTTTGAGGGTCATAAACTGAGTTAGGGAAGACATTAGTTGAAGTGGTTTTTAAATGAAGTTAAAGCTTCAGGTCACATCCTTAGGTCAGGGAGGAAGGGAAGAAAAGCTCCTCTTCCCTGGAGCTGTGCTGCTGTGACTGCAGAGATGATGCTGAGAAGAGCTGCTGCTCTGAACTGCTCCTCTGGAGTGTCTCTCCAAGGAAATTTGTCTCCAGTTTTAGAATTGAATACAGCATGGATTTTATTTGCTGGAGTTTGGGTTCAGTGGGAGAAAGAGCAGATTCCATTTTGCACTTGTGAGTGTGGGCACAGCTGGAGAGGCTGTGTGTGGATCTGCACAGCTGCCCAGGATCACAAGAGCTCTGCCTTCATGCCACCGTTCCCTTTGGTGTACAGTGGTGTAAATTCACAAATGGCAAATATGTGTTTTACAAATATACACAAATATGTGTTTTACAGCTGTGAGCAGCTCAAAAGGACTCAGCTGGAAGTAAGAGTAATGGTACTGTACCAGACACATCAAGAATCTCTTCTGCTTACTTTAAAATACGCAACTTATTTTTGAAATATGCTCCAGAACCTCAGGTATCTACAGTACACAGTGCAAATGTGCACTTTCTTTCACTGTGAAAATAATAGAGATGAAGGTCAAATGCAGTGGCTGATAGTTTATTTCTGTTTTTCAGGTGGGGAAGCAGAGGTGAATGTGAGGTCAGGAGCTGGCACAGGGAAGCTGGGGTGACAGCAGCACTCAAATCACTAATTCTTAGTGCTGCATTTAAACAGAGAAATCCCTTTTCTCAGAGGATAATGCACAGTTCTGCTGAGCACACTTAGGAGGGCTCTGCTGCCCGGGGATTATGGGCTTGGCAGGGCTCATGTTCTTAGGATGGTTAATTCCTGGGAGCATTCCAGACTCTTTGCTGCCCTTCTCCCAGTCATGAAACTGGAGAGAAGCCTGGGCCTGCTCTGCACCAGGTGCTCCTTGGCTGAAGCAGATGAATAAACCACAACTTATCACTTATTAATCAGAGAGATCTGAAGTATTCAAAGCTTCTGGAAAAGGATATCCCCAGAGGGAGTTTTGTATAATGCGTGGTACTCTGGAGGGTATATTTGACTTTTTATTGAGTCAGATTCACAAAATGTTGGGGATTAAGGAGCTCCAGCTATGGGCCGGGCTGCAGGATTGGTTTATTGAGGGGTGTTGCTGTCAGCAAATAGAGATTTTTACTGTTTGTTCAGGCCAACAGAACCTTCTGGTGGGATTATTGTTGGTTTGGGGTATACCCACTGACAAAATGCCCAACTGAGTGTTCATCACAAACCTTGTCAGCTCTCCTCTGTATTTCTATTCCATCTTTAGAAGGGGAAACAGAATATCTGCTTCCTGTTGATCAAGGATTTTGGTCATTTTTACACACCTGATGGAGAAGAGCTGCAGTTGCTGATGCAAACACCATGAGTGGGCATCATGGTGGCACATTAGGTACAAAGGTGGGGTTAAAATAAGTGAGAATCCTGCATCTTTTCTATGGCTGCTTGTGGCATCACACCCTGGTCAGTAATAGGGACAGAAATACACAGAGTGCTGTTATAAGCCTGTTAAAATCTGGGTTTTGTGTGTCTGTTGTGGTTTCACCATGGGTTCTGGTGCCTCCATCAGAAGTGCAGTTTAGTCAGCAGAAGGAGCTGCAATATGAACTTTATCCTGGGTGTGTTACGTGCCTGGGCCATGTGAAAATCAGTGGGATGTTTGGAAATCCATATTTTGCCAACTGGATGTCAAATCCTGTCCTAGAGATCCCTGGGTGGGAAGCCAGACTTGGCTTTGGGGATAGACTTTTCAAAGATGTCTGAGCCTTGGAGTGTGCAGTCAGGGACAGACAAGGAAATGCAGCCAATCTGTTTCTGGTCGAGAAGGAGTTTCTTTTTTAAAAGAAATCATCTTTCAAAATAGTTAAATCTGTATTTTGATTTCAAACGTATTGTAGTACATGAAAAACTTAATTCTGTAAGATCAGACAAAGAAAACACCAGAAGAGACTCTAAAATCCTACAGGTCATGCCTTCAGTTCCTATTAAAATTTTATCTAATGGCGAGGCGAAAGCTTCTTCCTCCAGCAGTGAGTGACTTTTTTTCAGTGCAGCCTGAGTCATTTCAGACCAGACAGCTACATTCCCTTAGGGATACTGGTTTACAGTCTCATTCTAGTAATAACTCTTCCAGCATCCATCAGATTTGCAGGCCCAAAAGAAGCTCCTACAAATCCTTTAAGGTGCTTTTAAAACCTTGGATAGATAGGATCCTGTAAATTACAGACAAAGCCTGAAACTAATTTTGGGTGGGATAGGGAAGGGCTTTTTGGGAATTACTAAAAAGACCCTGTAACTCTTCTCTGCCATGTCTAAATTCAGATTTAATGTATTTTTGGTTGGTATCAGCCATGTAAATCAAGGACTGGTATTTGGTGCAGTGTTTAATCTCAGCTGCCACTAGGTCTGTTCCCTAATAAACCACTGATGCTCCAACAGTGCATATTTGTTATGCCTGCTAGATTTATCAAGGCTGCTTTTAGTGGAGACTGTTCAGGACAAGATTTTGATTATTCTTCAGGCATGATGCAGAAGGCACTTTGTGGATGAGTGCTGATGTCCTCTTGGCAGGGAATGGCACACTGAAGTAGCACCTAGGTCTGTAAAGATAAAGGGTACACTGGCAAATTTATAAAATAATCAAAGTGGTCAAATGAATTTGATGTTTTGAAGCTCTTGGAAGGCTTAGATGCATCTTCAAGTACCTAAATACCTTTATAACTCAACTTCTCTCAACCCCTGGTTCACGTGATTTTATGTATTTGCTGGTGGCTGACAAGCTTATTTTGTGGAAATACCAGCAATACTTAAAATAACCATAAATATGTCATTAAAACAAGGCAGAATGTTTTAAGAACAAGCTGTCGTGGGAGTGCTAATGGGAACAATTATCAATGATGTGCATGGTTTATGGGGGAAGAGCACAGAGCTGGCGCTTACTGCAGAATCTCGTTTCTCCCTCAAGGCGAGAGTTATGTCTGCTCGTCCGACAACTTCTTCAAGAAGGTGGAGTACACCAAGAACGTCAACCCCAACTGGTCTGTCAACGTGAAGACCTCTGCCAACCAGAAAGCACCTCAGTCCCTGGCCAGCAGCAACAGTGCCCAGGCCAAAGAGAACAAGGATTTCGTGCGCCCCAAGCTGGTGACCATCATCCGCAGCGGGGTCAAGCCGCGCAAGGCCGTGCGCGTGCTCCTCAACAAGAAGACAGCCCACTCCTTCGAGCAGGTCCTCACTGACATCACTGAAGCTATCAAGCTGGAGACAGGGGTGGTCAAAAAGCTCTACACCTTGGATGGGAAGCAGGTAGGAGGTTTTTACAGATGTTACATCTTTTTGTTCTTCTCGTCGCGCAGCTTTGCTGACTCAGAGCAATTCTTGAAGGCTAAAATTAAGCTGAGATGATTGCTGCCATCTGTTGCCTTAGAAGTATGGCTTCTCATGCCAGTGGTTAGGTTACTAAATTTTCCCTGATATTAATACCAAGTAAAGAATGTAGCCGTGGGTCTGGGTGGAGCAGATGCTCGCCCTGCACGCTGGCGTGCGGTGCGTGTCCTCTGGGCCAGCTAAATAAATAACAGGGGGGCTTGGGCTCACAGCCTCCAGCTGCTCTGGCTCTGGACTCACTGCAAGAGCTCTCCAGCTTTGGCTCCGCTCAGAGAAAACGTGTTGCTTGACTTTCCTTGCCCTCTGGTGAAGGCTTGCTAAGATAAAGCGATTGATCCAAGCATGCTCTTCTGGCCAGCTCCAAAGCAAGCAGGGAAAGTGTGGAACTGTGGAGCATTTCCTTGACTGAATGCACGAGGAGGTAACGTGGAGAAAGAGTCAGAAATATTTAGCAGGTCATCAAAATGTGCTTCATGTCTACATGTTGCTGGAACTGAAGGAAACATCTGTCTCTTGTTAGCAGCTACACAGCAACGAGCCATTTCGTATTGCTGTATCTATGAAAAGCCTTAAAGGAATGTGGGGGATCATTTTTAGAGCTGGGAAGAACTAGATTGTTCAAGGACGATTCTGAGCTTGATTTAACATTTCTGTTTATTGTAATTGAGGAATGGTCTTATTTTTGTCACTATTTTTCCTGCTCCAGATTCTGGAGCCAGGCAGCACATCTCTTGTGTGGGTTTGGATGTTGGCTATTCTAGGGATTGATGGGTTTGCATTAAATTAACTCTGTCCTGTCTCTGGAGAAAATTATTCAAGGAAATGATTCAAGTACTCTGCCCAAGGAAATGCAGATTTTACAAATAAAAGTGTTCATCCCAAATGCAGGTTCCTAAATGTCCTGCACAGTCCAGGAGTGCAGTGTAGTTCCTGGGAGAGCAGCATGTCACTCTGACCTGATAGTCTGGTGTCCCTGCCCATGGCAGGGGGCTGGAACTAAATGATCTTTAAGGTCCCTTCCAACCCAAATCATTCTGTGATTCTTGCTTTGTCCCATCCTGTGTCCTGCACATTAGTTACTGTCTGGTTCTAGCTTCAGTTGCACAAAAAAATCCCATCTGTCTGCCAGAGCTTTCCTTTCCACTTGTCTCAACACAGCACTTTTCCTTCCTCAGATGCACAGTTTGAACATGAGAGCGTGCCTGTCCACAGACACAAAAACCTGCTGGAAATGAGCAGTGGTACCAGGACAGGTGTGCTGGAAACCTTGGAAGAGACCAGGGAAAGAGGAAGGAGGTTCTCAAATGACCTGTGCTCGCTGAGGTGATCACACCTGGGCACAGGCCATGCCCTTGGGGTCACAGCAGCTTTGCAGGGGCTGCCGTGGCTGGATCTGGCCTGAGAGCAGATCTCTGCTCCTGCTATTCTCCCAGCTGGGAAGGGGGATCTTAATCTGAACCTGTGAGTGGCCTCAGTTCTTTGAGAGCTGCTGGCAGCTTGGGGTGAGGTGTTGCTTTGGAAGGTGCAGAAATAGGGATGCTCCTGCTCTCTTCTCCCCCTTTTAGCTGTTTGCAGGGGCAAGTGGTGATTCCCTTCCACCTCTGGCTGTAGAGCAAGACAGGATCGGCCCTGATATGACATTTAACTTGTTTCTCTGGCTTTATAATTCACCATTTTATGAAATCAGATATTTGCTTGCATGTTGGAGATGTTGCTGGGAGATTGTGTGTGCAAATGTACACCCAGTAATGCAGTTATTGAGAACAGTGGGACTGTGATTTGGCAATAATGGGATGTTTGCTATTTGTTTGCAGCACCATTTGCTGTTGAAGCTTCCTGAGGAGCAAACCTGGTTCAGCAAGGCTTTGTTTTTAGTGGAAGGTTTCCTTCAATGCTTGTTCTTTATTACAGATGTGTGTTCTTAGTGTGAAAGTCAGAGCTAGAAGGTTATGCTGGCTCTAAGGGTTTCCATGACATACTGCTCCGTAAAATCTGACCTCCTGACATGACATTAGGGGGTTTTGCATGTCTGATGCTGACATTAGAAAGAGATTACTGCATGCGTGGTTCTGACAAACAGCGCTTTATTTTCAGGAGGAAATATTCATGCAAAAATGCAAGCTGCTCAAAGCTGAAATACTGACAAGAATCCTGACAGTCTGTCTCTTTGAGTGCCATCAGAGGCACGTTGCTCCCTCTGTTGTGAAATGATAAAATTTACAAAAGGAACGTACAAAGGGAAATCATCCTGCCTCAGTCCACGAGCTGGAACTTAATGAGGGGAGATGATTATTTTATTTATAGGCATTTCCATAGTGCTCATCAGTGCAGTAATCAAGATGCTTTAGAAGTACAGACAGTGGTGGTAGTGACAGGGTGGTGTGATAATTACATTTCTGTTCACTGCAGACCTGCTGCAGTTGGAGTGCCAAAGCAGCTAATTGAGAGCTGGTGGGCTGTGTTTGAATAAATGTAGCATTCAGAACAACAGTGGGGTTAGGTTATTTTAATGAAATTGTGTCTTTTTATGTCTTGGGTTGGCTGGAGAAATATGGCCCTTGAAGCTGTTAAATTAGCATCTTGTGTTTAAGTAGTTTATTTAACTTGCACATATTTCTGATGTCTGTACTGAAGCTCCTTCCCTCCCTGGAGCAAAGCATTACCTCTGGATGCACACCCCTGAGCTCAAAAGGTTTTCAAATAGTTGACCAAAAATGAGCATGACAGGGGATCAAAACAGAGATTTAACTTTGGAACTTCATGGCTGTACAGGAAATGGAGTGGGTAAGAGAATTCAGTGCATTAAGCAGATGCTGTAATGGGCCAAATTCAGTACTTGGTTCTGTGACTACAACTGCTGCGGTGTTGAGATATAAATATAGACAATTAAAATACACACATCCAGCATTTAATTTGGTCAGGACTGTGGATCATGCTGGAAAACAGCTATTTTGGTAGATTCTTCCTCCTTTTTTAAGCTCCTAGTTCTACCCAATGTCCCAAATAAGTCTGGGTTCCTGGGAGCCCTGGCTGCCTCACAGACACCCAATGACATCTCCTCCCCCACGTCGTTAACAAGCCAAATTAGAAAGCAGAATTTGAGACCCTGGCTGGAGTTGCATTGGGATGTTTTGAATGCAGTAGGCTGAGCTAGACCTTGCAGAGGTTGTGTGGATTTCCTGTCCTGCTGATGCTTGAGCTCCCTCCTCACCATGGAGCACAATGGGTCGGTGTTCACAGCAGGCTGCTCCACCCCTGGCAGCACCTTGCCTTGCAGGTGGGCTCTGCCTGCATTCCTCCCTGCCTCTCAGTGACCTGTGAGAGCTGATGTTCTGTGCACCCTGAGCTCCTCTTTTGTATTTTATTCCAAGGTCTGTGAGTTGTTCAGCCAAGTGGCTGAAGAGATGCAGTGACAAAAATCAATCCTTTATTTATTGGTTGCTGGCTGAGTTTGGTGATACTCTGAAATTCATCAGGCATCAGTCTGAAATCCATCAGTCCAGTTGCTGTACATCTTTATGTACAAAAGATACTTTATGTACTTTTGTACTTTATTTACAAAATATATTCTTTTGTTGTGTGGAATTTCTTCTTTTTCTCCAGCTGTTTTATTGCCATGCCTTAATTAACTAAACACCCCATTGTGTGACCCAACAATTATCATCACCAAAACATAAGCTGAATAGGTGCTGTTCAGAGCAGGGAGAGCTTCTATGCTTCAGCTGCTCATAAATAGAGATATTCTGATCAACAAGCAGAGCAGATTGTGGGTTTAGCCATGATAACATCAGTGATCTCCTCTGGCCTTTGAAATCTTCAAACACGGGGAGAAGTCTCCCATGCTCTGCTCATTGGCTGTTGCCTTGCCCAGACACAGTGCTGCTGCTCCAGCTGAGTGTTAGCTGTCTCATCAGATGAAATTACATCCATTTCCATATGTCAGGGCACTTGTGACTGCGCTCCCAATAGAATTTCCAGTCTTAATAAAGTGGTCCCCTCTAGCAGCCTGAGCTTTGATAAGGATATCAAGTGGCAGGTGATGAGGGGAGTCCATCCTGTGTTTGCAAAGCTGATGCCAGTGCCCTGGGGGCCAGCCCACCTCTCCTGGCCAGGCAAGAAGTTGCCATTTCGTTTTAGATTTCCTGCACTGAGGAAGGGCAGCAGCCACAGAGGATGACAAAGCTTACAGCAAGTTTAAGGTTGGGACTTTGTGATCAAATTCCATAAATGAGTTGATAATAAAGCATCTCCTATTAGTTGATAATAGGAGATGTTGATTAGTTGGTAAGTTGATTAGCATCTGCTAAATTAGTTGATAATAAAGCATCCCACTGCACTAAAGCATCCCTACAAGTTGTACTGGAGAAACAAAACTTTGGACTTGCTGCACTGATTTTAAGCTGGTATTTGGAAAAAAAACCAGTAAAAAATTATTCAATCAAGTGTTGATAACAGCAGTGGACCAAACTCTTCCAGGATAATGTAGATCTATTGATTGTATTAATGAAATTGTATCAATGAGACACCAAACAAGGTTTGTGCTGAAATATGAAAGTGCCTTCAAGAGCTGTAATCTGTAATTGGCGCTGAGGAAGGAGGTGACACCTGTGTGACTGTGCCCATAACATCTGCACTGCTGGAAGATCAGAGGGAGCCTGTTCCCCCCAGAGCCCTGGCAGGAGTTAACTCACACCCTGAGGCACCAGGTTCAGGCTACAAAGTGAGCAAATTGCTTTGTGCTATTGCACATGTTGTGGTGAAGGATGTCAGAACAACTCCTCCCTCTGGATTGTTGGCTGCCTTTTAGGATGCTGAGGAGCTGCCTTGGTGTGACCCCAGAACACTCAGTTTATGCACTGGTGTTGTCCTGTTTTTTAACTTTTTTTAAACTTTCTGATGTTTACATTCTTGTAACGAAC